CTCAAGACCTATCTAGAGAACAAGTTGAAAGACTCTGCAAGCTGAACAGAGAACATCTAAATCATGATCATCAACATTAGAAAAAGAGATAAGAAATCTGATGAAGACTACTCACAGCACTTCATGAAATTATGGTACAAATTAAGATCTGTGAAAACAGGGCTCTGGAACAAGACCTGAATGATGATATTTATAAAGAGACTGAATAAAGACATGCAGAACAAGCTCATTAAGCAAGACTCTAAGTTCTTAGTCCTGGAGAAACTGATAACTCTCATTCATTACTTACAGATCACTGTGAGAGTCACAGACCTGTGAAGAGCAGATCATCAATCAGCTCTGTGAGAGTCAGGACAACAGAGAACAGGTTTATCAGGAAAAGATGACAAGACACAGAGAGATTCATATCTGACTGCTGAGCAGAGAGAGAGAGCTTTACAAGCTCTCACAAACAGAGTGCACAACAGAGAGATTAAGAAAAAGAAACTCTGCTTCATCTATTCTAAACCAGGACATCTCTGCACAAACTGTCCAGACAAATCAAAATAGGAATTTGAGAAGTCACAGACAGAGTCAGCAACAGCCTTCTTAAGGGCCTTGAAGCTGACACCTGAATCTGTTACTCTCTCAATGAAAATGCTTGCTCACAGAGAGAGACTGCGCTGCAGTGCTGCTGTCTCACAAGCATGAGAAGTATTGATGAACTCAGAATCCCAGGTCACTGTGATGTCTCTAAAGCTCACAGAGTGAATGAGCTGAAAGATGAAGACTGAAAACCTGCTCTTGCAACAAGCAGAGTGTGAGAACTCAGACCTGAGAACTGAGAGACTTACAAGAGTCATCTTTGAATTGCAAGATCTCTCTGAAACCTGGAGAAGATTTGCAGAAACTGTGATTGTCATGAACATCACAGATGACATGTATTTAGAACTTGCATGACTTCAAAGACACAATTCACACATAGCTGTCTGTAAGTCAGGTTTATACTTCTGATCAGTGTTGGCAGACTCACTCACAGAGGTAGAAGCAGTTGATGCTGCAGAGTTGATTAGAGAAGACAAGCTCATCTATGTGATAACTTTACAAGTGTCTGAGGATCTTGCAGTCATGAAAACTGAGCTTCAGATATCAGAGAAATACTGAGATCTCACAGAGATGTTCAGCTCAGCTAAGGCAGCTGAGCTTTCTTCTCACTGTAAGAAGAATCTGATAATAGATTTGATAGAAGAGTAGAAACTCTCCTGGAAATTAATCTATAAGCTCTCTCATCACAAGACAGAGATCTTACAGACCTATATAAAGAAGAATCTGAAGAATGACTTCATTCAATCTTCACAGGCCTCTGCGGGAGTCTCTGTGATGTTTATAAAGAAGAAGAATGAAGATCTCAGATTGTGTGTAGACTATCACAATCTGAACTTCAAGATAATAAAGAGTCACTACTCTCTGTCTCTGATTGAGAATGTGATCAATCATCTCACAGAAGCTGTCATATTCACACAACTGAATATGATCAATGCATATGCACAGCTGCAAATACAGTCTGAGAATGAATGAAAGACTGTCTTTAAAACTGTACTGAGATTGTTTGAATATCTAGTGATATCTTTTGATCTGACTAATGCCCCTGCAGCATTCCAGTCTTTCATCAATAAAATACTTTGTACATATCTGAATGTCTTTGTGATAATATATCTGAATGATGTGATGATGTACTTCATGAAGAAGAAAGAACACACTGAGCATGTACAAAGTATGTTAAAGACCTTAGATGAGGCAGAACTGTATATTAAGCTCATGAAGTACAACTTCAGTGCTCACTGAATTAATTTCCTAGAATATGTAATCACTGCAGATGATATCCAGATGAAATCTTCATGAATTGAGACTATTCTATCATGATCAGAGTCAACTAGTATTCATGAGATTCAGATCTTTCTGAGCTTTGTGAATTTCTATAAATAGTTTATCTTTGCATTTGTGAGAATCTTCTTGACTCTTACAGACATGCTGAAGAATGAAAACAAGAAGAAGTCACCCTGTGAACAGAGAATGAAAAGATTGTTGAGAAGAGAGAACTGTGAGGACTTTCTTATCCCAGAAGCTTGCAAGGTCTTTGCAAGGTTGAAACAGATATTCACAGATACAGTGATGCTGTTTCACTTTGATTTCTTACTCTTAATCAGATTGAAGACAGATGTCTTCTTCTTTATAATTTCAGAAATAGTCTCACAACTACAGTCAAATGAGAACTGGGTTTCAGTGATCTTTTTCTCATGAAAGATGCAACTCACAGAGATCAACTATAGCATTCATGATCAGAAGCTCCTCATAATAGTGAAATTCTTCTATCACTGACATCACTACTTTGAGGATCTTGTAACAGTGATTACTGTTAGAACTGATCATGACAGCTTACAACAGTTTGCTTCAATCAAGGAACTCTCACAGTGACAGGTTCACTGAGCTCAGAGACTGAGTGAGTTCTAGTTCAAGATAGAATATATCAAGAGAACTAAGAATCCAGCGGATGAACCCTCTCACAGGCCAGACTATGTTAAGAAGACCAGGGCAACAGACACAGAGGAGCTAGAGAAGACAGAAAAGCTTCACAGAATGCTCAGACTGAGTGTTGTAAAGAGATTGACTGAAGAGTCTCTCAATCCCCTGTGAGAGAAGGGGAGAAAGAGAGGGAAGAAGCCTGCACAACTACTCTCTGCAACACTGAGAGTCAACACTTTGAGAATCTCTGCAAGAATCCTTGAAGAGAGTATCTATAATCTGAAGAATTTGCAGGCTTTGAGAAGCACTGTGGAAGACCTGATGTAAGAGAAAACAGAGTATAAGTCTTCACAAGATCTTCTATTCAGATTGTCTGAACTGCAACTGAAGAATGAATATGCTCAGTATATTCAAAAACTGCTTACAGCAGAGATCAACCCTGCAGAAATAAAGAATTGAAGAGACTTAAATGATCTCTTGTGAAGAGAGGGTCAGATTTATGTGCCTGTGAATGAGTTTCTACACATAGAACTTATTAAAAGGTATCATGACTCTTCTCTAGTGAGTCATTTTGCAGACACTAGAACTCATGAGTTACTCATAAGGAAATACTTCTGACTGAAGATGCAAGGACTTGTGAAGAAGATAGTGAATTCTTGTACTATTTATCAGGGTTTGCAGGTAGTGCAGTTCAGGTCATATGAAGAACTTACTTCTCTACTCATTCTGTGAGAATCTTGAGAACAGCTAGAAATGAATACTCTTGTGAGCCTTTCTGAAAGTAAGAACATATATGATGCCTGCTTTGACAGTGTGCTGGTGATAGTGAATTACTTCATCAAGATGACACACTTTATACTCACTCACAAGGACTTGAAGTCAAAGGATTTGACTCACATCTTTGTTCATGATGTGATCTGATTGTATGAATTGCCTGTAAACATTGTCTCAGACAGAGAATCAATCTTCACAGAAGAGTTCTGATCTGATCTGATAACTATACTGAAGATCTCACAAGATCTAAGCATGGCTTTTTATCAACAGACAGATGATCAGACAGAACATCTAATAAGTATATTGAAACAGTATCTGCAGTGCTTTGTCAATTATAATCAGAATAACTGAGTGTATTGATTATCACTCACAGAGTTTGTGTACAACAACTTAAAACATGTCAGCACAGATAAAACCCTCTTTGAGATACTCACTGAGACTCATCTGTGAATGATCTTGATGAACCTGTGAGAGTACACTATAGAGTGTGATGATGCCTGTGAATGAGCTGAGAGAATTCAGGAGATTCAGAAGAAAGTCTGTGAATTCTTGAGAAAGACTCAAGAGTATCAGAAGAGATACTATGACTTCAAGTATATTATAAAGAGTTTCAAGAAAGATGATAGAGTCTAGCTAAGTCTAGAAAACATCACTACACAGAGATCTAGTAAGAAGCTGAATCTCTTGTGAACAGAGTCTTACAAGATTGTGAAGAAAGTTAGCTTGCAGTTCTACAGATTGAAACTGTCACCTAAGTTACAGATATACAATGTTTTTCATGTCTCTTTGCTCTGCAAATATAAGAAATTCTCAGAAGAGAACTCTGTGACTCATCACTCTATTCATAAAGCACTAGAGAGTGAAAGAGAATATCAGATTAAAGAGATTATTGACTCAGAGAAGTGAGATTACAAGCTCTGATTCAAGATTCAGTGATAAGAATATTCTGACAAGATGAATAAGTTCACTTAGAAATTATCTGAACAGATAAGACATCTGCAGAAGCTGAGACATGACTTCTATATTATGAATTCTGACAAGTCAGAATAGTGCAGTCTTCACTAAGAACCTGATTGTGATAAAGACATTAACACTGTCATTTGTGAATCCTAGTCTACAAGATAATGAGTTTCTACTGGAATGAACAGTCTGCAGTGTACATAAGAAAAGAAGAAAACATATTCTTATTAAAGCTAAAAAACAAGAAAACAAACAGAACTGTGAATGCAATTTAGAGATTAATAAAGAAAAAACAAAGAAAACTCACACTCATATTATTAACACTCACAACACTCAATTTCCTCATAACTATCAATTTTCTTCTTCAAAGAAGCAGAGAGCATCATGCCTACAGTACAGATAATTATTACACTTGACACAAAGACTGTCAGAAATGCACAGACTTCAGAAGAGCTGAACACCAGGGCACACACAGTTGCAGCAGAGTCTTGAAGACTGGCCATCTGTGTATGTGACCAGATATTTCTCATGAAGCTGTGTCTGCTCTCTCAGTTGTGCTGGAGTATCCAGCCTGAAAATAATGAGAACACAGAGAGAGAGCTCATCTGCTCAGGTCAACTTCTGTCACAAATTCATAGCATTCACATTGCCTTGATTACCTGGATTTTGCAGGTACCTGGGAATCCATCTCTCATTGACAATGAGATTGCAGAAATGTGCTGTGGTGCGAGGACCATTGATAGGAAACCTAGGCATATTCACATATGCCTGGTCAGAGATTGTGTGGGCAGGAAGAAGATGGTCATAGACTCACAGAACTGCAGGAGACACTGGCAACATCAGAAGCTTTACAAGAACTATCAGCTAGAGTCTGTAAGGAATTACTTATGAGAAGACTTACAGCAAAGAAGAAGACTGCACTGCTTGAAGCCAGGAACTGGCCTGGGGAAGGGATGGGATGGGCCGCTGGCCTGAAGATCAGGTGCAGTGGCAGAGCTGAGAGAGATGAAGGTGCGGTCATGAGCAGCGGTGCCCCTGCTTCATCAGCTGGTAAAAAGCAATCAGAGGAGTCACAGAGATGCTCATGAGAAGCTCAGCAGCAGCCAGACATTGTTTATGAAGATATTGGAATTGAAAAAATTTTTATTCTTGAGAAGTTCTTGAATCAATACACAGATATTGTCAGAAACACTCTCTCTCTATCATCTGAGTGAAAACACTTCACAGATGAATGAGAATACTCACAGTTTGTGAGAATGAAAGCTGTTACAGAAAAAGAGAAAAGAAGATGAAGTTTCACAGACAGATCTGGGATATTTATACTACTCTAGAGAGATTTGCTTACACTGTGAGTGATTCTGTGAAACAGCCAGATCACTCTAGTAAACAAGAGTAATTATGAATCACAGATCTGAATCTTTCTATATGACTATAAAGAGTGATTGCAGACTGTGAATATCTTGATTCTACAATTCTACAGAGTTGATGAAAGAATGAAAAATTCCTCACAATTCTACAGTGTCAAAGAGCAATGATTTGCAAGAATGAGTGAAAGATTAACTCATGAATATTTCTCTTTGATGAGAGTGATCTTACAAAGAGTGATTCATCTGTGAGATGAATCTGTGTGATGATCACATAAGAATCTCATAAAAATGATTGAGAGTCAACCAGAACTCTTCTGTATGAAAGATGTGAGATGAATCTGTATGATAGTCAGAGAAGAATCTGTAGATCACAAAGAACCTTATGAAACAAGAAACTGAGTGACAGACTCTTTTCTCTTTATGATAACAAGGGATTTTTCCTCACTGAGGTTTTTTATAGATGTGAAGAGTTTTTAGTGAGTATCACTGCAGTGCTGAGCTGACTATGAAGTCACTCAGTGAAAGGCTTCACAGACAAAGCCTTAGAGAGAGGGGGATATGTAAGAAATCCTGCTCCTCACAGATTCTTTACCCCTATTCCTATCTCTCGCGTAATCAATAGGGCTAGCGGCCCTTGGCTACACACAACTATATAGACTGGAGTTCGCGAATACTATTTGTAACTCAGCTTGAATGCTATTATACATTTGACCCCTACATTTATCTTCCTACCGCGAACACTTCTAGTAGTTAACAGTACATATCACGCCAAGCTGCAAACACCCGAATAATCGCCTGCGAGCACTTATTCTTACAGAAATAATGTAATTTTGCTCAGCATCAAAATTCAGTTTCTGAAGTAGTACAAAATCAACTTTTTATTCAAATGTAATTTGAAGATAAGAATAAATACAATTTGAGTTTCTATTCACATTATTTTGAATAAATGTGATTTTTGAAGAGTTTTTAAACTTTTTTTGTTGTTTTTGTTGTATATTCATACTAAAAGAGAGTAGAGATAGAGTAGAATCTAGTCACTATTATCAGATAGTAAATTATAACTATTTTAAAAAGTAGGAATCTCAACTGCTTGCATTATATCTAGTTTATCATCAGAGTCATTTCTTAATTCTCTAATCTTAACAGAAGTTTGAGGATTCAAATTCTGTTTACATTTAACTGAAGAATTGAAGTTTGAAGATTTAGATAGTTAAGAGTTTCTTCTTTTTGAGCTTGTAGTTGTAAGTCTACTGACTTGACTCTTCTCTTCAGTTTTAGATTGACTTTGAGTTTCATCTTTTCTTCAATTCTTTTGAGTTCTAGAAGCAAATATACATTCTTTTGAACTAGATGCATGTTTTTCTTTGCAATTAGAGCACTTAAGCAGAGTATGTTAATAAATTTCATCTCTTTTTAAGCATGTTTCATATTTATACTCACTAGTTTTATAATCTCTGACACAGAATGCATATTTTGAGTCTCTAAAATATAAGATTGTAAAGTATTCATATCTTTGACAGTTTAAACACTGTGTTTAAGCTTTGAGATTCATTCTTGAGTCTTTGTATTCATGAACTCTCATTTTCAAATCTACTACTCTTACTTCAGAGATCTTTGACTGTTCAAGTGTTTTTATATATACTAGAACAGAGGCATTTCTCCTGCTTTGTCTGAACTCAATTGAATTTAGTTATACAGGCTGCTTTCTCAGTTGAATAGAGTTGTATTATTTTAATTCATTTTTGAGAAGTAGCATTTCTTCTTCACAGTCAAAAATTTCAACTGAAATATTATAAAAAATGAATTTGTCTCACTTTTCATCTCTTTTAGATAGAATTATTATGTTTAGCAAAGATTCTACTGCTGACTTTCAGAGATTCTCATTCTGAATAAGGAATTCAGCACTGAATTCAGACATTGTAGTCAGAATGATGAAGTTTTTAAAGAATGATGACTCAATTGAAGCTATAACTGATTTTTAAACTTCAATATCAGTCATCAACTGAGAAAAGAACTGCTGATTAATTTCATTTCTAATTCTGAAAATGAGATTTAAGTTTAGCTTGTTTCTGTGCAGAATGTCCTGGTTTGAGACTTTGAGAATAAGTCTTCTATTTCTGAAGATTTGAAAGTTTTTCTCTTTTTACATTTTCTTTTTCACTTTTCTATGAATAGAGGCATGAGCAGTATTCTTCTCAGTTTTCTCAGGATTTTGAGCAGGTTTTGAGACAGCAGGTTTAGAGATAGCAGATTCAGCTGCTTGAGCATATATTTTCTTCTGATTCAAAGAAGAAGAAGAAATAGAAAAAAAGAAAGAAGAAGAGCAAGATGAAGAGTCAGTGATTGTACTAGAAATTTTCAATGTTTTTTAAACTGTGTTTGAGATTTCAAGTTTGAACTTGATCATCTCCTGTAGTTGTCTAGCCTGAGTATGAAGAATTAACAGAACTTCTTCATTCATCTCACTCAGATACTGCTTTTCAAGAATCTTGCTTACTTTTTCAAGTTTCTGTATTTCAAGAACTTGTTATTTCTCTATTTCTTCTTTCTTTCTTCTCTTCAGAATTTCAATCTCAGAAATAGTATTTAAGAAAGCATCTTTTTTCACATCAACTGAGTGTACTTTTGAACTTATTATTCTTACTCAATAAAAAGTTGATCAGACTAATTCAATTGAGATATTTATTAAACTCTTTTAAATTGAAAAGTTGATCAGACTGTTTTAATTAAGAGATTTCTAAGTCTGTTTTCAATTGAAAAGTTGATCAGACTATTTCAAAAGAAGAATAACAGACTTTTGTATATAAAACACCTGATTTTTTTCACACTAGTTCAGTAACTAGATTAGATTTTTGAAGAGAATCTAATAAACTAAACTTGATTTTTAAGATAAATCAATAAAATCTTTACAATCTCTTTCTTGAAATACAGTGAGGAAAAGTATGATATCAATTGATAGTAAATCAGATAATATGACAGTTTTTAAGAGAAAAACTGACAAAAAATAAATCAATTTTTTACAGAGAAATTGATTAAAACTATTTAATTTTATTCTAAATTATTCAATTCTTCTCACACAATAAGTATACAACTTAAATCAGTTAATAAAGAGTGTAAAAAAGAATTAAGTATTAATAAAAGCTCTTCAGTCACTGAAAAAGTAATTCTTATTTAAAACAATATGAAATTATAACAGAAAATAACTCTGTTTTTAATTCTTTGTAAGAATATTGTATAAAACTCAGAGAAAAACATCTTACTTTTTCAAGAGAAGTAAAAAACTATTTCTGAAATCTTTTTTTTGCATTAACTGCTGCAGAAGAATGAGATAGAAACTGCTAAGATATACACTACTGTATACTCTCTATCAAGACTTTCTCTCTTCAGAGTCTTGATATTATAGAGAATATAAGTCTATTTCTATATAATAATGTAAATATTATCAGTGAGATGTAGAGAAACTGATTATTTATATCTCAAAATAGAAGACTTTGTCAATGATTATATTAATATAGAGTTAATTCTTAAATTCAATAGAAATCTAGTGTTACTATTCTCAATCTCTTGCAGAATCTACTGAATATTGAGATATTAAAACTAGATTTAATATATCTCACTATGCAGAAATCAAAGGCTCAGTCAGATCTTAAAATATACTGATTTTATAGTTATTGTATCTGCTGATTATGTATTGAGTACAGTTACTGAGATATCTTTTTATACTTTTCTATCAGAGATGAGCCAGATTGAGAGAAGTGATATGAGAGTGAGACTTGATATTAATGTCTAGATACACTGAAGACAGACTGCAGAGATTGCACTTCAGAAGTGACTGTTAATTATGTACTTGATATTATCACTGAGGTATCTTTTTGTATTTTTCTGCTGAGAATGGGCCAGATTAGAAAGAGCGGTATGAGAGTGAGACTTGATGTTGATGTTTTGAAACATCAAAGATGAACAGGGTTTTCGCGGAGGTCGCTCCTCAGATATCTTCACAACTAGACTGGCCGCCGGGATCATGAATTTCATGTTTGGTTTCATTTGATCTGGTCTCATACATTTCTTGGCGTGAATTCTGCTGAGACTAATCATTAAATAAACATGCAAAGTGACTATATATCAGATCTCAAAATGAAATCATGACTTGAAAAAAATGAGAAAGTGGTCTCATTTGATCTCATTTAGTCTCATTCTTAGCATAAAGTTACTATTTTTAGACATTTTAAGGTTTTTTTTAGACTATTTTTAATTTTTTAAAAAGTAACACTTTTTGATAACACTTAAATAAGATTTAAAGTCATTTAAAGTAATAAAAATAATTTAAATTGAGAAGTGAAAATCATGATCTCATTTGAAAAATGTGACAAGAGTAGACAGTAAGTTCTACTGAAACAGTATGAGACTACTATCTAATGTTAGAACTGTGTAATGGGATCTGTCAAATTGACAATGAGACTATTAAAAATTCTGGTTCTGGTCTCAGACACGGTCACACAGTCAGTCTATTCACAACTACAGATCAGGAATCTTCCAAAATCAAGAAGATTGATGCATATGACTAGGTCTCTTCACCTTACAATTTGTATGGTAATTTGGCCCGGGGTTGTGGTGTGGTAGGGGAGAATGGGGGATAATCCCATGCAGGAGTTTCAAATGATGTCTGGTTCACATTTGGCTGAATAACTCCACCACTACACGGGGTATGCGGTCGGCGATGG